TCCCGCCATCTCCCCCACACCCTCCTCCCCCCACACACCCCCTGGAGAAAGCCAGGAAGCAAAATGCACTCAGGCTATTTTGTAAGTGTCATGCTCTAAGAATATAATTCCGGTCCCACTGCAGAGGTAGTATGTTTCTTAGCCCAATTATCAAAGTCCTTGAAGATCCACCAGCTTTCAGCCAGGCGTGCTGAGTCTTCTTTGGGTTGAAAGAAGGCCTTACATGGTCAAAAGTCTGATCAAACTTTAAATCTCTATTAATTGTTCTAATAAAAAATACAGCCCCTTTCACAAATGTTGTCACGTGTATAAACATATTAATAAAATATTTCATACTGCAACTGTTGCTCCTCTAGAGAAAACTGCAACTCCCATCTATGCAACAACACAGAGGTGGGTGAGAGAAGCCTGTCAGCACTACCCATACATCAGGGCACGTGAACGGCTCTTACTGTTTGTCTTAAATGAGCCAACACATCGTATATCTAAACCACTGTATCCGCCTTTTAGCAACAGATGCAGATTACTTCAGAAGAGCAGCGTGTGTAACACCGAACAAGTTTCAGTGCTGTTTAAAAGCCCCTCTGCTCTTACAAATACTTTTGCTCTCAGGTGACTTTTAGTAAACTCTCCCCTTCTTCCCAGCAAAACATCTAAATTTAATCACATCCTGCTGCATTCTCCATAGTCCTATGACGGCAAAACCAATTTTAGATAAACATAAAGACCTTAACCGTAATTAATTAACAAACATTACCAGCTGTTGCCATTTTATTCTCGGCTCTAACATTTGTTTGATAAGGATCTAAAATGAAGGAAGCTAAATTAAAACTGAATTCTCAGGGCCCTTTCCTACAAATGGAAGATGAGAGGCTGGGGCAGCGATTGGTCTCTGATGACCGGGCCACCGGGCGGCAGGGGTGCCTGGCTACCTGCTCCGGCTGTCAGAGGCACCCACAGCACATGCTACGATCAGCTAGCTTCTAGCACACATGAACATAGCTTAATCTTCTCCAGGTCACATACGTTATCTTCAGCTATTATCTAGCTGTAGCCATTGCGGGTGCCCTTTTTCCAAAAGCAGGTGTATTTTTCTGCTGCAGACACGGCTGTTCACCACCACCAATAGAGAACGTCTATTACTGCTTGGGAACTAAAGAAGCTCTTGTAAACTCTTAACATGTTCAGTTCATTTATACTTCCTTCAAGCGCAACTGTTGTTACTTGCTCCTGTTACTGTGCTCCTGCCACATAAAGCAATAATTGTTGGTAGTTAAATTTGAACAAAACTGCAGGCATGAGAAATCGGGGATGAATTTGATCTGATTGAGAGGAGTAACTGGGTAAGGATAAAGCTGTCAGAAGAGGGAAGTATTGATGCAGAGGAAGAGCAAAGCATAGCATCACAAAAATTGCATGGTAATAGTACAGCACAGGAAATTGGGACTTGAATTTTTGTTCTTGTGTTTGATGTATTTCTAGCTGGCTATCTACCTGTGTTCAAGGTATTACCATTTTTGTACCTTCTGTTATTTCTGATTTATTTTATTTTTACATTGTTTTTTTCCCCAGTAGGTGGCCACAGTTGCTAATTGAAAGAATCCACTCAGCCCCGATGGAGTGAGTTTTGTGAAAGGCAGAAAAATAGGACCTGGCAATGCAAAAATAATGCCTCTTGCAGAAACAAGTAGAGCGGAAGTCCCCAGCCTTCTCTGTTTTGCCCCTTTGGTTTTTTTTTCAGCAGAGATGCAGGTTCCTATGAAACAATTTGAAATCTACTAACAATACACATGCTTCTCTTAGCTGTCTTTCACACATCTCTTGGAAGCAGACCCTAAACCCCCTCAGACCAAAAACCTGCTCTTAAAAATGCTCTCATTTGCTAGCCATTTTGTGGAAGAGGGAATGCCTCACTGGCTGCCTTCCACGAGAGATGCATCCAGGTGCCAGAGAAAGCAGGAAAACATTTTTAACTGCAGGAGCTGCTTCTATTATAAATTACTACAGCAGAGTGGATACTCTAGTAAACCAGGTAGTAAAAAGGTAGAGAAGAATAAATCTCTTTCACCTCTATTAAAAATACTCTACTCTTAAGCTGTAAAAATTGATTCATATTTTCGCACCCTATCAGAAAAAAATAACATTCTTAAAAATGTGAATCTTGAAGCCACAGAAATGAAACTAAAATAGTAGTGGATGAATTTGGAAATATTTTGCCTTCATGTGAGCTGCATCAAAAGCAGACAGGATTCAGGCTGGTAAAAGCCAGGCTAAGTGCATTCTCAGCGTATTATGGATAGACAAACAACGAGAAAGGGTAATAAAAGCTAGAGTTTCTCATCTCTATTTTCTAGTTTTTTTCTTAAGTCCACAGTGCAGACATAAATGCAAACTCAAAGTTCCATGTAGATGTATCCAACCGAAGAGCTGCCCCTTCTCCCTATAATTCTGCTCATTTTAGAATCAGCGCCATATTTATTCCTTCTTAGATTCAAAGTCAGTTGGTATGCAAGAATACTTGTAGGCTAGGAAGGATCTGTAAATTTTAAAGATAAGCTGATGAATTAACAAAAAAACCCCAAAACTCTTATTTTAGAAAAAAAGAACAAAACTTTCTTTATTGCAGCATGCATTTGTCATCTCCTATGTTAAAAAATTCAGATCTCTAGACAAATCTGTTTTGGGAAAATTTGAATAAAATATTCCCTCCTACAGCAGTACTTTTTTTCTAAACAGTGGTTGCCATTTTAAAGTTACCACTATTCGCTGACATCCAACTCCCACAACAGGGTGCCGCCCTCTGTCTTGTTCAAGCTAAAACTGAGGAATGGAAACCACCTAAAACCGTGCATTTTACTTTCTTTATGAAGCACAAAGACCCCATGTTCTGCAACACAGTTCTCATTCTGACTATGGCACCAGCATAGATAGCAGTCAAAGCGCTAAGTTTGTAAATCCCTTAAGGTCTCTCGAAGGCCAGAGAACTTGATGTAAAATGCTGCAAATCTTGTGAAACTCTTGAAGGACATCAGCGATGCTGATACACTTCGCTGCTGTTATTGCCTGGTCACTTTTCATGGCTTTTATTCAACTCATTTAGAGCTAGAAAATTACTGCTTTCTGTGTGCTGCACACGTTCTATATGCTATGATGTGACCAAACCAATGGATGTACAGAGATAATGTACACAAGCAGAGATAGAAGAGAGACAGAAAAAAGGATGTTACAGCAGATGGACACATGAAAAAAAAATTTGGAAAGTTCAAACAGAATAAAGAGATTCTGCACGTCCTTTAAAGTCAACTTCCACTTATCATTACACATCTAGACTCAGATTTAAACACAAGAAGACTGAACAGAGCATATTATTAAACTCTGCAGAGAAATGCTGAAATAGATGGAAATCCATCTGGTGAAATCATGACCCACTAACATAATTTTTTTTGTTAACATTATCCAGCGCAGTTTCACTTTTGGTATTTGACATATGACCCAAGATGACATAAAATATGAAAACATGATCACTGGTAGGGCTATCTGGGTGATTTCAGAGCTTTTCTTAAACAGCTGTTTGTCCTGACTACAACAGAAGAAACTCTTCTTCACCACTAACATTCACAGACCTGTCAAGCCCAAAATACGGTAACCGGAACTCAGGCATTTGATCACTGGCGCATGCTCGCCTGCCTCCATTTCATACATTCATAGTGAATCTTTGCTGTTTGCTGACCCTGTGTGTGAGTGTCAACCAGCTATGAACAATCTGGGAGTTTCACAAAGCAAAAGAGACGTACTATAGCTCTGTGTTGCTGTCAGGGGGTTAGTTAGCCAGTAGGAACCCCATGCATCTAACACAGGCTTTCTAGCAGCACACCAGTATCGTAGCTCTGCTGTCGTAGGATCTGAGTCTTGGAGTGTGTCCATCACATAATCCAAAATGCGGACGGCCTATACACTTAGCAGACAAAAAGAATGTGAGATTTGCATTCACACTAGCAGTTCAGCAAGATGGCGTACATATCTTAAGTCTGTTCAAAGGATTTTGAAGAGAAAAATTCTCTCTCATGAGAAAATAATTTTATCACTTTTGCCCCCTTTTTATTAGTGCGATTATATCACATGAATATAATTCCTGCATCAAAAAATTCCATTCAGCCTTGAATTTCAGATACATTTGCTGATCTGAAAGATTATTCTTGATTTAGAAAGTCTTTATTTATTTATATTAGAAGTATAGAACGTCTGATCCCTTCATATGGAATGTCACAGTCGTTCTTTTCGGAACATAGCTGCATTATGTATTGTATTTTCTCTCATTCTTCCGTAAACTGAGCACGTGGTTTCACATTACACCTAACCAAAGTTCACTGCCAAATAGGTGGTTCTTGGCTCTTTTTCTTCTGAGCTCATACTCCCTTACTCTCATCTGCACCAGATCTACTCAGCCTGTAGCCACAGATGAGTCGGTTCAGTCAGCTGAGCCAGTAGAAAACCCTGCCTTTTGGCGAATAATTTTTGCATGACATCAGTGGTTCATCCAACTCACACTGCAGCTGTAGGGTACCACAACTTACCCAAGAGGTGCAGGCTTGCAGCTGGAAACGGAAATGGACTAGGATCATACCTTCCATCAGTGGCTCTTCATTTGGGTGGATTAAGTGACACATGAAATGCCATGTATGACATGAGCATTTCATCCCTAAATTGAATTTAAGTTCAAGTCATTCTAAAGATTCACAGTGTAATATTTTCACTTTTTTCATCCCAAACCATTCATGTATGTACTGGGTCTGGCTGGGATGGCATTCATTTTCTTCAGAGCAGCCGATACAGTGCTATGGTTTGGATTCGTAACTAAAACAGCGTCGGTAACACATCAACACTTCAGCTACTGCTGGACAGTGCATTAGGGCAGGCTTACCTGATTTAAAGGGCAACGCTTACAGATATTCCAAAAGGCAGTCTTTACTGTAAACTTCAGCAAACTCACAGCTCAGAAAACTTGCGTAGTTTCAAACGCATTTCTCTGGAGCTAGTCCGGCATTCTACATCACTGGTGAACTCAACTTAACTTTTACTTAGTAAAGCAGAATGGTGAAATCATTACCCAAAGACCAATCCGTTAACAATGGAAAAGGACATGGAAAAGAAGAATTAAAGAAGATGAAAAGAGAAAGAACAGTCTGGTTTTATTCCATTCACTTCAGTATTTTTTTAAGTATTGATATGTTCATACTAGGGCAAGGAAAAAACGACAAAGAAAAAGGAAAACACAAAAGTAGTCAGATAGGAGACTTGTCAATTTCCCTCTCATTCTACAAGGCCATTGGCTACAACATTTTACAAGTAATGAGATATTTCTAAAGCAGCACTGAAGAGTGGAGATGATTTTAAAAAAAAAGCACCAGTGACATGAAGAATTATACCTTTCTTTCTGTCTCAGCATATTTCTAAAGTAGCCGAAACAACAAGAGAAAATAAATCTGCACTGGCAAGAGGATTGACTGGACACCTAACACTGAAGTCATATACTTTATGAATGAATGGCATAAAACACTGGCCATAGGCTTTCCCTAACTTAATCTTTGCTTCAGTTAAATACATGTGGTTGAACCAAACCATATTTTGAGAAGCCAGCAACATCAAATCTTGGTTCAGTATTTCCAGTGATGGAGTATATAAAAAAATCTTCATTAAAATGTAACTGTGATTAAATACCATTATTGATAAACTTATTAAATGTCTTACCGGTTCTGGTTTTTATTTCCTTCAAATGCCGACTATTATACCATGTTAAATCTGCTACGCTGCAGAAACACTTACCATCACTGTTCCGTTTCCTATATAGCCCATTTACAGTCTGTGGCCAAGTGATCCTTACCCTTCTCTCTTACAAGGTCAGCAGGTCTTTGCATCTTCCACCATGAGGCGTTTTCCAGACTCTTAATCGTCCGTAAAGGCCATCCCTAAATTACCCTCAAAATTTTCAGCATTCTTCCTCAGTTATAGACATAAAAAGGCACACAGAATTACAAAGGCTTTACAAAATACGTCAGTAATACAGAAAATCAAGGATGTATGTCCAACAATCTCTAGAGCAAGATGTGTTATTTCATATTCGCAGGTTTTAAGCCAGATTGCTTGTACCCGCCTACTAGGCCATCAAGACTTGTTCTGCGTTTGCAACCTGTCTTTTTAAGTTTTAGCACTCTCCTAATAATGAGCCTATCTCTAAGGCCTTATCAGCGGCTGTTCAGTTTTTAAGAAGTTAGGTAAATTCCCAGCTGTAATTCTGATCTTCCCGTCTCGATCCTTCTTTCAACCCATTTGACTAAATGCTCTTCTAGAGCATTAAATCAGGGCACTTCTGTCTGTGCGGTACCCAGCTCCCGCCCTTGGCACCTCAGTGGCCCCCTCAGGCTGCACCGCATCCGCAGCCCCCGCAGGACGGGCACGGAAGATGCTTGGTCGCCCCCGGAGACTCTTGTCCTCGGCGTTGAGGAGCAGCGGGAGGTCGGGGACACCCTGGGGATCAACCGGACGCCGTTCCCACGCGGCTGACAGGCCGCCCGTGCAAGGACTCGCCGCTCCTCGGGACTTACCCGGCGACGACACGCAAGCG